ATATTACTCTCATTATTATTCAGTAAATGCTTATTCATCACTTGAATCTAGGAAACATTTTTCAGGCTTCATTACTATATCCAAAAATATTTTTACTCTATATTATTTAAAAAGTGTTAAAGATAGTATTTAGAGAAAAAAATTGCTGATGTGTTCAACTGTCCCATGCTGGTATTTCTAGATTTATAGACTCTACAATCTCATCTGCATGATGCAGAAAAAACAACCCAAAAGGTAACTTAATGACCAGCTGGTGAGGTAAAGGTAGGTGAGCATTCAAGCAAGGTTTGGTTCAGAAATTAATGAAGGATTAAATATAGAGGTTCCTCAAAAAATTAAAAATAGAACTACTGTATGATCCAGGAGTTCCCCTTTGCATATTTATCCACGGAAAATGGGAACACTAACTCAAAGAATATATACACTCCCGTATTCATCACAGCATTATTTACAATAAGCAAGATAAGGAACAACCTAAATGTCCAACTGTGAATGAACAGATAAAGAAAATGTGGAACATATATACAATGGAATATTATTCAACCATAAAGAAGGAAACCTTGGGCACCTGGGTGGCTCAGTGGGTTAAGCCGCTGCCTTCATCTCAGGTCGTGATCTCAGGGTCCTGGGATCGAGTCCCACATTGGGCTCTCTGCTCAGCAGGGAGCCTGCTTCCCTTCCTCTCTCTCTGCCTGCCTCTCTGCCTACTTGTGATCTCTCTCTGTCAAATAAATAAATAAAATCTTTAAAAAAAAAAAAAAGGAAACCTTGCCATTTGCAAAAATATGGCTGGACTTTTAGAGCACTATGTTAAATGAAACAAGTCAGACAGAGAAAGGTAAAGTAAATTAGCCACAAAGATGTAATGTGTAGCATGGTGACTACAGGTAATAATACTGCATGATATATTTGATAGTAGATCTTAAAAGTTGTCATCACAAGAAAAACAACTTTGCAACTATTTATGGTGATGAATGTTAATTAGATTTATTATAGTGATAATTTTGCAATATACACAAAAATGGAATCATTATGTTGCACACCTAAAGCTAATATAATGTTATATGTCAATTATACCTCAATAAAAAATTTTTAAAAAGAAATTAAATGTCGTCAAAGATCCTATTTGCTTTCTGACTGTCCTCTCTACCTGCAAAGTCTATGCTTCATCCAAGAAAGGCTCAGCTTTGGGGAACTAAATGCTTCTTAACTCACATTAAGCAGTAGAAGAGAGATCTCCCCTGGTAGCTCTCAGAGAAGAGGATATAAACTTATTTTTTCCAGAAACTCTCAGCAAAGATCTGTGTTGCACTGACCCTCAGTGGGCTATGGTCATTATGTCAGAGAGTAAATTTGCTGACTCATTTCAGCCGGTCTGGATCCATCTTTGTGTTGGGGACAAGTCATCTTTCCATTACTAAACATGTTGTTTTGGGAGGAAATTATACTCAAAAGAAAATTAGCTTAGGATTACTAAGAGAGAAAGACAACGGATAACGAGTAAACTAAAATGCTCTATCTCCCCAAAGCCAGTGGTGTATCCCAAGTGTGAGGTCAAGTGTTAGATATAACCACGGTTCTTTATTTTATAGATCATCAAATTCTTTGCTTTTTCACAGATTAGAAATCATTATAGACATAAGTATATCATCATGAAGATATTTAAAGAATTACTTACTTCTATTCAAATTTTCTCAACCTCCTCCCAAAGCAGTGCCATATGGGAAGTTTTGTTTCATTGGACAGGAGGTCTAGATCAATTAAATTAAATACAGCCCATTGCAGTATCTCTGGAGGGTGGTACTTAAAGCGTCATATTTTGTGTTAGGTAACCAAATTTTCGTCTTTAGAAAAAAGCATTATTAAGTAAGATAGAAATGAGATTTCAATGAATTCCTTTGAATCATTTTCACCACAATCATAATTTCCACTTTTAGCAATCCACAGTGTTATCAACATGTTATCTTTCTTATTTTCACACATATTATTTAACAAAATACTAATCAAGTTGGAAATTCTTTTCTATTTCTAGCAAAAAAAAAATTATGCTCTCTATTCTGACATTCTCAGAACACCATGGATCACACTGCATGAATATCAGAGGATACGACATGTATCTAAGCTAAGCTGCAGTAGCCAAAAATAATTATGGCTCAAAATTACTTTGTATCCCCATGGAGAATATACACCTCACTTACAGGAAGAATCATCACAGAACCAGAGGATGCCAAGTACAACAAAATGATCCAACTATAGAATCCCAGAGGATTTTCAGAACAAAGAATATGGCTTATTTTGGACTTCATGGTTTTTGAGAGCACCAGGGTCTCATGATAGTGACTGAGCAGCTTAGCAGAAGGCAGTACATCAGGCAATCTGGTAGTGCTTGGAGTCATGGATTCTGTAAGAATCAGGTGACAGCTACAAATGCTCACACCAGGACAATATACATCCACTCAGAATTTCACATACAATTTGGAGGGTTCATGAACATCCTGAAACTGATTTTTAGACCCAAGCACACATAGACCATTTTTATCAGAATACAAAAGCAAAACTCCCTTTCCTTGAATTTTAAAATATAATAATTGATTTTTTACAGGCATAGCTTTAAGGATATGGAAGAGCTTGAGTTCACTCTTTCTCAAAATGTATTTCTAGTTGTTCAACCTTGTAGGATTAAGAACATGTGAATGGAGTAAGAAACGTGGAACACTGATGGATTCTTCCAAAGCCTTGCACATAGTAAGTACAATGAATCTTATATAAAGTGACAAAAAAATCAGTCTTAGAATTATGCTGATGTAGCAGCTCAATTCTAATGTCACAAAAGTAACATTACATAAATACTTATTACAATAATTCTCTTTTTTTTCTAAATAGGATTTTCTTCATTTGTGAATGCATTAAAATATACAAAATAGTTAAATTGTCTATCTACTCTACTTCTATTTCTTGCCTTTACAACATCAGTGCAATGTTTTCCAAAATAACCAATATATTATGTTCATGGGTATATTCAAATAGTTCTGTGAATATATGTTCCTTACAGTTTATGTTTTAGGGGCTATCTTAATTTTGTCTTTTGATTTTTAAAAATTCTAAGAAACTCTTTTCCTAAATCAGTATTCTCATTGGAGACGATCCAACACCTCGGCTCAAATGTCTGAAAAAACACGATTGGTCCTAACACTGAGAGAAACTATGTGGAAAATTTGTAATGATTTGTAAACATTTTCACACTTACTATGATTCAGATATGGACTGTGGCCCAGAAAAGATTTGGATTTATTTTGATAGCCCCTGTAATTAGCTCAGCAATGTTTTCCTAAGTTATGATTTCATGCTGACTATTAGAAATTGCACATTGTTGAGATGCCACATGCAAAGAAGGTATGGTATTATATGGCAACAATTAAAAACACTATAAAGTAAAATAAACAGGATTTCAAACCAAGAAAACATAAAGTCAATGTGGCATAAATAGAATTTAGAAGGAAAATATCTAGACTTCAGCATTAGATACCATTCTCAGCACACGGCCCAATTTAGTTTTAAACAAGCAGAGTGAAACTTCAGTACGGATGAGGCAACAGGACATGTGGACTTCACTCTTGCATCCCTGGCAACAGTCTGAAGATCAAGGACACGTGTCTTGACCTAAATGCTTGACCACCAGTGTCTTTTCTTCTAAGAGGTGTGAGAAGCAGGATTGGCTATATTATTTGGGGGAGGGGAGTGCAAAATGAAAATGCAGGATTTCTTGCTCAACATTCATCTGAACAAAAATTCAAGATGGTAACAGCTGTGTGTTCAATCAAGCACAGGTCCTATGCCACTGCCGGTCCTGGTGACAGAGGAAGGGAGTAGGAGAGACATGTCAGTATCCTGTCTGTCCCAGTGCTGGCTCCTGGGCTCTGAGGAGATGCTCAGACCAAGCCCTGGGGAATGGCCAGTGCTCTGTTTGGTGTAAGTTTCAAGGCGATTGAGATGACAGGGGCTACTCTTACCCGAAATCTATCCTCTGGATAGGTTGTGAGGATTAATGAGTTAATATCAGAAATTGCTAGAGGGCAAATCTTCACTTGCCTAAAAGAGCATAAAATTTTTATTTTGTCTTTTATGCTTTCTGACAATCCCTTCAGTCTGCCACTAGGCTTTTAGTGGAGCGTGTGGAGAATTTAGGACAAGATGATGAATCTCACTCAAGGGCATCTCGATAGCTTTGCAAACTTAATGCAATAATGTAGGTCTTGGGCCTTGTGTCATGGAGTAAACGAAGACAGCAGAAATTCAGATAAAAGAGGCTATAGCTCATCCTGTTGTTATTATTTAGGAGACAAATTATGGCAATGAATTTTTTAAAATCTTAAAATCCTCTTTATCATTGCACAGCTACCTAATTTTATTTTGAGTAACTACAACACTATAAAGATACTTGATGGAGTATTGAAGGCTGTATTTTCTTTGAAATGGTGTATAAAGGATACTCTTTGGCCCTTCAAAGGAAAAGAAGCGGCGGCCAGGTTGCACATCCGGAAACTGGGTAAAGCCCTAAGTGAAAGCTGGTGCAACAGCTGAGATGGAAACAAGGTTGCAACATCTTTTGCTTTGGTGCCCAAGTGAGAGTGCAGGAGACAGGCTCCTGCCCCATTGCCAGGGCCCTGGGCTGGGTCTCTAGTTTTAGGAACCACTCTAGGGCATCTCTTCCCCCGAGTCCCTAGCAAAAAGGTGCCAATGGGGCATTTAACATGTGTACTCCAACACTTGAGCCAAAAAAGATAGGCGAGCTGTGAGCAAAGAAAACAGGCAGCAGCACCACAGGGAGAAGGGACAGAGGGACAAGAGCCCAGAGGGAGCATACCCTCAAAGAAGCTGGTAAACACCTGCGACATCTGTACTGGGGAGCTGCTTTCTTTCCACATGTTCCCCTGTGCTCTGTGTCTTCCAGGGTTTGAGTAGAAGTTACACGAAGTCTTCCTTCCAAGAAACCTTAGGGGATGGAGGGATTCGGTTCCTGCCACTCATCTAGGAGCTTTCAGACTGGCAGTGGAGAGAAGGGGATCGAAGATGCAGAAAACGACTCAGAACATTGTAAGGGATTTGATGAGGAGACAGAAAGAGGGAGGTTAGCAACGGTTTCCTGAGGGAGGCGTTCGGGGGCCAGGCCTGGAGGGCTGTGATGGGGCAAGTGGGCAGAAGGGAGAAGGGAACACTCTTTACAACCGCGTGCCCACCTGGTGCCAGAAGGGAGCTGAGAACTTTTCATAATTCATCTCCTACAAACTTCATGAATCCCTTGCTGTTAGCTTTATTTAAAGATTAAAAAAAATAAAGATTGTATTTTTTTATTCGACAGAGAAAAAGGAAGAGCGAGAGCACAAACAGGGGGAGTGACAGGCAGAGAGAGAAGGAGAAGCAGGCTCTCCCCTGAGCAGGGAGCCCGATATGGGTGGGGCTCAATCCTAGGATGCCAGGATCATGACCTGAGTGGAAGGCAGTGGCTTAACCAACTGAACCACCCAAGTGCCCCTAAAGATAATTTTTTTTGTCTCATTCATGATCAAAACTTCAAAATGAATGAATTAATTAATAACTTCCCTCATACACACATAAAAATGAGATATGATTAAGATCCTTAGAATAGTTCAACACCAAAAAGATTATGATACCCTTCCCTATATATAATTCAGAATAAGATAAGATATCATACATTATATTCATATATATGCTAGAGTCAAAATAGCTTACTTTAAGATTTTCTTACAGCTAAATCCTGGGTAAGTCAATTAAAGGTTGACTTGTATCAGGTTTGAGGGAACCTCATTTGTCTGTGCCTTTATTATGAGCTCTCAGCTAGCTTCTTAAATAAAGCAGAAATTGCACCCAAGGGTGACACCGGCAATAAGTGGCAGAGCAAGTATTCAAACTTTGATCTGTCTGATGCCAAAGCCCAGACTCCCAATCACATGGCTTTCCCAGTGAGCCATGCCTGAGATACATCCAGTGCCTTCATGTTACTTAACTCAGAGTCATGTGGGTAGAGACAGAACCTCTATGAAGAGACAAAGTCTTCCTAGGACACTCCTTGAGACTTTGCCACAGGTTTTTAAGTCACATAAACCTCCCTTGTATCTATGGTATATTGTTAGATGACAAAAGCAGGTTGCAGATAAATGTACACAGCACGATCCCATTTTTTCCTAACAAAATGCTCCTAGATCTACATTTATTGATGTTGTTACCTGTTTGTAGAGTTACTTTGGGTACTGGAAGGAGATTTAGAAAAAGAGGGCAGAACAGTAAGTAGGTTCCTAGTATAAAGTTAAGGGAACATATAGAATAACACCATTCAATCTACAATTATCTCAAATAGGTAATCACTGAATATACCCATGAAAAAGTTCTCCAGGTAACACATTCAAAGACAGCACTGATGAGGCTGTAGGTAGTTTTCATCTTTGATTCCTTCCTTTTGCTATTTTAATTTAGTTTTTGCTCTGGGTAAAATAACAAAGCAAGCATAAAAGATTTCCCAAATCTGTGTGACCTTAGTGATACCTATGGGTGAACAGCCAATAATGACCAAACTGCTGGCCATGGAGTCCCCTCCTCCAGGCCGCTCAGCTCCCCTCTGTGCTTCTGGATGCGGAACTCCTCCCCACTGTGCTCCCACAGGGCCAGGGCGGAGACTAACAGTGGCCAGAAGTCCCTAACCACACACCCTACCCCATGTAAACAATAAAAAAGGTGCTAGACCCCTCTGGGAGCTTGGGAAACTACAATGTGTTTACCTTGCTTGAGGGGAAGGGGGTAGCAGCCCCTCCACTCCTTGAGATTGTTGTGCTGCAGGATGGTAAACCCAGTATCTTTAGATCCCCCAGTTGTTTTGGAGAAGTACAAAATTCAGATTTGTATGTTAACACTGTTCATTTTTCATGACTGGCACTAAATCACATCTGAAAAGATGCTATGTGAGCCATGACAGACACACGTGCAGTCACATGTCATTGTGCCTGGAAGGGGAAAGGGTCCAAGTCAATATTTTGACAAGAGCTCAGGAAAGTTCTGGCATATGGCTTTTGGGTAATGGTAGGGTAGAGTGGTTAGGATGGGAAAACTGAACATAAAGGGAATCACAAAGTCACACAATGGGGGAGAAAGGTAACTGTGGTCCCATAAAAAGACATTGGCGACAACTTTTACCGATTCCCCAGCTTTGCTGAGCATCTATCTTTCCTCAGCTACGTATTCTCTCTTAGATAGACTGTTAAACTTGAACTATGCGGCTCAAACACCAAGAGGGGCACTTCACTAAGGAGTAAAGACATTCTCTTTCCAAACCTAACCCCATATACGCATGCAACCCACACATCCTCAGCATGTAGAAACATGGAGGGTTGTTTTGCTCTTGTTATTACTTAAGAGCCAGGAATAGGAATGAATTGATATAAAGTACTATAGTGTGTCTTTGCATGTTCTGAATTCCAGCATAATTCAAACACCTCCCGCTAAGATACGTCATTCTGCCTCTAGGCAGGACTATTCCTAAAATCTTCTTGACATCTGGGCACCTGTGGTATTCATTAAGCCCTCCTGGGAATAAGATCTCTTTACAAATATTCAGAAAGTATCTTTCTATTAGAGAATGAAGTTCTATATCACCATCAAAAAGATGAAGGTATAACCTTCACTCTGCTATATCTTAAAAGGCAAGAAAAGTAGATTGGCAATGGAGGGAGTAGAATTAGGTCTGTGCCAGCAAGTACTCAAGAGGTATGCCATATGTAGCTCATGACTTGATAGCAGCAAAGCCCTCCTGCCCCACTCTGTGTCTTCAGAAAAGGGGCAGGAGAATTCTGGAACATTATACTCTACTAATTTTCAACACTGCTGGAAACTATGGCTTTTAAACATTGAAATATTAAGAATTGTTCTGTACCCCAAACAGATATTCTTATTTTAGAAAGTGCTTCTTCACCAACTATCACAACATTCTTTTTCAAGGAGCTAGCTAAGAGGGAGTACAGTTTTTTTCTGCACTACAAGGCTGTCTTCTCTGTTCTGGTTCAAGCCAATAACTCATTATAAGTAGCCAAAGACCAAGAATTTTGAAATTTCTGAGTCATCATTCGAACAGCATATCTCCATGATTCTGAAGACACAGTTCTCGATAACATATTGATTACTATATCCCTAAATGGATATTTCTGGTACATTGCTTGTCTAGCAGCCATATATTCCCACCTATTTGTCTGGGTAATTTCTGGCTTCAGAAGAACATATGGGCCATATTCAAAACTTCTACCATTTTCAGTGTTTATCTTTATTCCGTCAAATTTCTTTAGAGTTCTCTCCATTTCCCTTCTGTCTCTTTATTCTCTACATTTTCTTTGATTAGTAATTCATTTACGTAAAGCTCCAGTTTTAAAGTTTGTGGAATAGGAGTGCTCGGGGATAAGAAAATGGAAATCCACAGGCTGACGTTTTAATCCTTGCTCTGTCATTATTTAACACTAACAATTCAAAGAGGCATTTAAGACACTCTTGCCTAAGATGTCCCACTTATCAAATACCATGAGGGCAGTTTTCTTCTGCCAGTTTAACAAAAATATAGTGACAATAAATAATGCACAGGAATTACTTTGAGAGTCTTTGGGAAAGTCTGTGTTCTTGACCTTACCCTGCCAACAGCACTCTTTGCAGCCTATGCCCATCACTCTGACTGTGGCTTCTCCATCAGAACAGCCAGAGTAACAATTCCTTTATCTACCCATTTCACAGAGATGCCTGAGTCTCCAAAGGCAAATGTCATACTTTGAAAAGACAAACGCTGCTAAAAGGCGGTGTAGCCTAGCTTCTGGAATAGAAATAGTAATGAGTAGTGTGGTTACCCATACCCTGTTCAGTACAGGTACATGCTCTGTGTTATAATTACAAGATCTCTCACAGTCTTTGTACAGTCTCTGCAATTTGGGTATAATTATGTGCATTTTTTATATGGGGATCAGGAAACTAAAACCTGTTATGTGAAAAAGTAATTCAAGGTCACAAACCTAATAAGAGGCAAAACCAGAATTTGAACCAAGTTTTTGAGTATTTTTTTTAATAAATGATGGCTATTTAGTTATCTTATTTATGGACACATACCTATATTTATGCTTGCACAATAGACTTTTATTATAAAAATTTTGGAATATATAGCAATCTGATCTAAATTCCTGAATGTCACCTGTTCATGCATCAAAGAAGATGATAATGCCAGAAATGGCTTTAGGGCCAAACAAAGTAGTTGAGCATAGTTTCTAAACTGGGTTTAAATATAGATGTCACAAGGGAGTATACGTTGTATCTAATCTATAGCGATAGAAAGTAAATCGCCAGGTGCCAGGGGCCAGGGTTAGTTAGGGGCAGCTTAGAAAAGACATAAGGGAACCCCCTTGGAGTGATGGCAATATTCTATATCTTAATCGTAGTGCTGCTTGCACAGATGCATACATTTATCAAAACTCATTAATCTCTATACCTAAAATGAGAATAATTTACTCTCGATAAATTATGTCACAATAGACTTGATTTTTGAAAGACCGATTCTGTCATTCACTTGCCGTTTCATTAGGCAAGTTATTAATCTCTACTTCTCATACACCTCTGTGAAAATGGGGAAACTAATTGTGCCCAACTTCAAAATGTTGGGGAGTATTAAATAAAATACACCATATTAAATAAATTACACCAAGTATTTATTAAAATTACACAAATAAAATACACCTTACTATGATAGCTTACTATCATACTTGTTCATAGGAAACATTCAACACATGCTTATTCCACAACAGTCAACATCAGACAGTGTCCTAGGAATTGAAGAATCAGTGATAAATAAGAGAAAGCATCTGCCCTCACAGAACTTATCCTCTAGACTGGGTGAAACAGACACCAAGCAAATCAACAAAGAAATGACCAAGACACAGTCAAATAGCAGTAAGAACTATGAAGCCAGGATGTGAGTGTGTGGTCGCAAGGATGGTGGCCTTTTCCCTGTGTGGTCTGCGAAGAACTCTGTGGAGATGTGTCACTTCAAACCAGGCATGGATAATATCAAGGAGATAGCTACGGGAAATGTTG